GTTTCATAATTTGCCCTCCTTGGAGACGAGACTGGAAAGGAAAGACTTCTTTGGTCTCAAAGTGGCCAGCCAGCCTGGCCTGCCAGAACCCAGGTCTTACTCCTTGTGACCAGCTAGAGCTGGGGACACTGTGGCGCAGAAGGGTTCTCCATGGAAGACACTATTCCCAGTGTCAGGAGGTACACATGAGAAGTCTCCCTTGGTCAGGAGTTAGGAGAAGGGAGGCCTTCTCCAGCTCAGCAGCCACCCAGAGTGGCCACACACCTGCAGGAAGCCTGCCTGGGGCTGCAGGATTTGCAGAAAAAGCCAGACCTCAATTCTGTGTAGGGGTGGGCCCTAACCTACACCCTTACTCTTTTCCCTTGAGTCTTCCTGGAGGGATCAGCACAGACAGAGGGCCATTTGCCACTAGCCCCTGCTTCTTGCCCACCAGCCTTGCCCAGCTCAGTCTATTGCAGTGTGGAAATCCTTCTAGGCTGGCAGTCCCCACTCTGCAAGAGGGAAGGGCTAGTAAGAGCCTGTATCCTCAAGATAAGTCTAAAGAGGCAGGAGAAGAGGGTCCCACAGAAACAGGACTCTATCAAACCTCACCCCAATTCCCCTCCCCTAGCTTCACAGCCCCAAACCAGGCCTCTGAAAGTGGAAGGCCCTGAGCATCCTGGGAAAGGCTGGGTATCATCCAAGTGACCCCACATCAGGCCACTAGGGCTCTGTGACCTGGTCTGTTTGTCTGTACCCTGGTGAGGGGCCCAATGGGCTAGAAGGGGACAGTGAGCACATTCCGTCAGGAGCAAGGGACCAGATGCAGGCTCAGGAACCCCACGGTCCACAGAGGACACAGGACTGCATGTATGTTGTATGTCTGTGTGTGTACAGGCAGGAAAAGGGAGGTCCAGAGGTCTGCCACCAGGCCCCAACCACTGTCCCCACAGTGTGCAAAGCCCTAAGTTTGAATCTTCCCGTGTACCAGTGACCTACTTCCAGGAATAAATCCAGCCTGGCCAGCAGATGAGACACCTAGGGAAAACTGCACTCCACCCCCTTCTCTTCCAGGGAAGCACCCCACCCCTACAGTTAGTCAGACAGACATACAGACAAGCACAGCTCAGTGCTCTGGAAGACCTAGAACCCAGAGCTTGGAGCCCAGCATCTTGGGGCAAGTGCCTTGAACTCCTCCCCCCCTCCCCAGCTGGGCACTCCCTAAGCCGAAGCTTCCTGCTCTGACAATGGACCTTCAACATTAACCCCCATTCTCCCCTCAAAAAACAATGACCCCACCTGTGCCCCATGTACAAGTCATTGTTGTCCTCCTTCTGACTCTAGCTTCCCTGCCCTCCTCCACCATGTCCAGACACACACCAGAGGCTCTGGGCTCAGAGATGGGGGCCCAGAGGGAAAAACCACACTTGGGGACTAAGAAAGCAAAAACACACTGTAGTTACAGGTGGAATAGGAATCCCAAGGCCACGAGCAGCCTGCACTTCCGGGGAGCAGACCCCACAGGACCCCAGCTTCTCTCTGCTCTGCCTCCCTTCCCTCTGGCAATGCAGCCGCCAAGCTCTCTGAAGCCAAAAGCAGCTTGTAAACATTCTGGTTGGAGGTGAAACGTGATAAAACATGAAGCCAGGGGCTGAACCGTGAATAGTCTCTGGGGTTTTACAAGAAACAAACAAATCACTCCTGGAGGCCGGCGCTGGGGTAGGAGGTGAGGGGCTGGGGAGGAAGGAGCTTATCTGCAGGTAAGCAACTGTCTTCCCTGTGCTTCTTGCCTGCAAGCTCCATTAAGCAGAGTCCCAGTACCCAGGGCCAGGGTAGGGTGATAGGTGGTCCTAGGGTCCCTTCATGCCCCAATCCAGGGACACACTCAAGCAGATGAGATGCAGAGGGAGTGGACAAAAGGCAGTACAGTTGGATATGCCTACATTCCTCTGATGCTACTACATGCAGCCTCCCAAGGGCTCGGCAACGGGGAAAGGAAATGAGATAAATACACCCTAGTCACTGGTATTGAGGAGCTGTTGGCCTGGGCCAGGGTGGAACCTGCAAGGGGATAGCAAGAACCCAGTCTGTGCACCCGTATGGGAGGCCTCCCCAGGACCCCTACAGTGTGGGGGAAGGAGAGAGCAAATGGGGCAGAGCCACCAGGAGGGGCTTCCGGGAGGATTCTGGCACATGGGGGTAGGGGATGAGAAAGAAGAAAAACCAAATCTGAAAGGCTGGGACACAGGGGCCTGTTTCTAGGATGGAATCTGTCTTGTCCGGAAGCCCCGCTGCTGAAGGTTCGGGAAAGGGGGGTCATAAAAACCACACAGTTATGATAAATAACACTGCTGTCATTTATGGAGTGGGAAATCAAGCTGTAGAGTTGGGGTCTGTGGATCCCAGCGAGCAGAGCCTGTGGTTACCACTGAGGAAAGTTACCTGGTCTGATGACTCTTTTGCAAACACCACACTGATTGGAGGAGGCCAGCTAGGAGCTGTCACTGTTGTGGGGAAAACACATGGGGCAAAGATGCATGGGAGGTGGAAACTCAGAACCTGGTGCCCCGAAGTGGGTCAGGATGGCAGCCGGGGCAATTTGAGGGCATGGGAGGGCCACCGGGAGAGGAGGCCGGAGCATCAGTGCAGGTGAGCCCCACCCAGCTGCCCTGGAGAACGGGCTGGGGCCAGGAGCCTCCTGCCTCCACCCGTGTCCCCCCATCCCATTCCCATTCCCACAGCCTGTTCCCACCACTCACCACCCATCTCTGTCCCTCTCCAACTGACTCAGGAAGGGCCACCCTATACTTCCACACATAGCCTTGCCTGGGGTACACTGGCCAGAGTGCCCCACCTGCAGGCAGCTACTGGCTAGTAATGGTAGAACACCAGAAGCTGTCTGTCCCCAAACGCAGCCTTTGACTTGCAAGGCTGTGCCTGGTGGCCACTCTGGTAAGGAGAGTGCATTAGAGTGGAAGGGGCTGGGCTCTCAAAGAGCCTTTTGTTTCTCAAGGAGGAACGGGGGATGCAGGCCAAGGTAATGTATAGCTCACTGGAGGAGGGAGTGGGGAATAATTTATGATTCCACATGAGATATGCATCCCCCACCAGGCCCTACCCAGCCCCGAGCCTCTCCTGTCTCCAACAAGGAGGCAGGCTGGGTTCTGAAGACAGAGGAAGGTTAAGTGCCCTGCCTGAGGTTGCACAGTGAGCTGAAGCCACCGGGGCCCAGCAAGTAGGCCAGCAGCCCCTGCACAGGCCCACAACCTCACTCCAGAGCCAGGGTTCCTGGCCTGTGGTTAGGGATTGGGGGAGTGAAGAGTCCCATCAGTGAGGAATTAACCAGGCTTAAGAGGCCAGTAACACAGGGCCTCACCGTCCTCCTCCCTCCCCAGCCACTCCTACCTCGACACCTTTGCCCTCAGACCTGCGGGCCCAGCTCCTCTCTTCCCTACGTAGGGGTGCTTCCAGCTGGAGTGTGTCTATTCCAGTTATGCATTCAGAGCTGGGGAAAATCACAGGATGGATTGGGGGACCCGCTGTGAAATGGGCCTGAGCTAAAACCCCACAGGGCCTCCACAGGCCCTTACTCCGCCACAGTGAGGTTTGTGTCTCCTGGGTGGTATCAGTTCAGAGCCACTGTTCAGAAGTCCTCAGAATGTCTGATTACTTTCTCTGTCCCACACAGGCACTCTGGGAAAAGGCTGTAGGTCCCTTTAAGAAAGGCTGGAAGACTAATGGTATATATTTTGGCAGCATAGCAGCGTTCTTCCTTAAGGGGTCCTGGCCTCCCCTTTATTCAAGGAGTTCTGGGTCCATAAACTGGCTCAAGTCTGGGAACTGGTTGAGGGGTCATGACTCTGCTTTATGACTCAAATTAGACTTCTGTTCACTTGACCTAGAATGCTTCTGCTTAGACAGATCAAGTGAAAATTCAGTAGGCTTCCCATCTATTTCACTTCTAGGGACATCATGACCAACCAGCCAGGGCCATTGCTGCTTTGACTGTGGTCTATTAGGGCAACCACACCCACCCTGTCTCTGGCCATTAGGCGCACCTCCACTTGGACCCTGACACCTCAGGACCCGTTGACCCCACTGTTTAGGTTTCCCAGTTCCACGGCAGCAGCTCTCATGTCAGTCCTGGCCTGCACTGAGGAGGGGTCACAGAGCTCTTCCGGGATGCTGGGGCTCCCCGCACAGCGGCGGTGAAATCTGTGTCTCCCGGACACTCCCAGGGTGGGTCCTAAACGACAAATCCGCAGTCTCCCTAAGCCTTTGGACACCTTTCTGTAGAGTAGGCTAAGATGAATCTGGCATTTCAACCCCATTTAGTGTGGGCCACCTCGGGCCAAGTCCCAGACAACTAAACAAACCGTTAGAATGCTTGCTAACCTCAACATTAAATCCAGAGTCTCTGCTCAGGGAGCCCCTATCAATAAATTCCGCCTGATCCAACTTCATGTTCTATCCACCATGATCCCAACCCTTACTACTTATTCCCACACACGTCCCCCAGGTTTGTCAGTACAAACTGTAAAAACCATGTAATGCTTTTGGAGTACAGCACACCTCCTCATAGGTCACATTTTGTACCACCCCCTAGGGGGCCTGGGGCATGCCAAGCTGGCCTTGGCGTGTGCTGCACCTCTGCCTGCAAGCTCTTCTCCTTGCTTCTCTCACCTGTCACCACTGAGTTGTGATGACCCCTCCTCAGCAGTACCACCCACCGCCACTACCAGAGGCAAAGCTCTAATCCTCCCCTCCTCAAATCTGCACACCATTACCCGGCTATAGTCGCTCACAGCCCTTCTCATCACCTGATGTGAATTTACTCTCTCAGGTACACCCTCAGACCTTGACGGCCCCATCTGGCTTGCACATGGCTGCATCCCCCACACTGAGGCTAGAACCTGGCATGAAGCAGATGCTCAATAAATATCTGTGAAACAAATTAAACTGTGCAGAGCCTGACCCTCATATCGTGGCATCTCTGATGTTGTTAATAAGCAGAACAGGACTGTGTTTCATTGGTTTATTTGTCTCCTAATTACTCCAGAGAGGATTCAAGATGGGAAGGAGGGCTTCAGCATCACCCACCCTCCCAGACTGCAAGAGCTTCAGCACGGGTGCAAGAAAGTGTGGTCACTGTGCCCTGGGACAGTGTGGGCTGTGGGCTGTGGGCTGTGAGCTCCACAGCCCCCCAACCTTGTACAGTCAAGGTTATGAAGCAATAGATGCTTTCCTAAACCTGCATGAGGCAAGCAGCAGCCACACAGATTGTGAAACAGAGTTCAGGGTTTCTCTTCTCGTAACTAAGAGACCAGAGGTCTGTCCTCCTCAGCCCACTCCCGCCACAGGTCACAGGTCATCAACACTCTGACTGCCTAGAAGGGTTTAACCAGAATGAATCATGCAGTGGCTGAGGCTGGAGCAGCTGGCTGGGGGCTCCTCCATTTGCATTCTGTCTCCTAGCACAGCTGGAGGGAAATGGGCACCAGCTTTAGTGGGGGCTGGAGATTGTCTTAAAATTGGGCCCCACAGGGGTTAGTCCTAACAGTCAAGAAGGGGGCACTGGACTAAGGAGAGTAAAGGTGGGTGCACCATCACTCACAGATGAGCCAGGCTTAGAGCCCACCTCTCTGAAGCCAAGATAAGCTAACAGCTGGGCCCTGCAGGCCCATCCCGGCAGCAGGAGATGGGCCACGAGTGGCCCGCTCGTACTTTTCCCAAGGAGAACCAGTGCAGAGCCAAGGCCTTGGGAGCTTTCCTGATGTTTCAGCTGGCCCCTCCTCCCTGTCTGAATGTCTGGGGTTCCAATTCCAAGTTAGGGTGGTCAGAGTGTGGCCATCATGCAGGACCCTTCTGGGGTGGCTGAAGGCTTCCCACCTACTTCCCCTGGGGGGCAGAAGTTTCTTTACCTGAAAGAAAAAGAGGGGAGAGAAAAATCAATCCTTGCTCAATTGTGTTGCAGACACCATTCCCTGAGCTCACCCCCTCCACTGCAGCCTGTAAGCCAGGGAACTAGGAGGACCCAGACACCCAGCTCAGGGCCGCCTGTGTGCCCGTCACAACCCACAGCCTCTTCTTCCTGCACAGGACAGAGGAATGCATAACCACCACAGCACAAAAGCACCATCGCACCTTATCATGCATGAGCCCCCACGGACACCCTGGTTTAACCCCCAGCAACGGCAACAAGCAGGTGCTCTCAGCAGCCCCATTTAATGGAGGATGGAACAAACTAGGGACTGGCCAGTTTTGCAGGTGGCAAGTGAGGTGCTGGGATTTGAGCTACAAAGATCTGGGAGGAGCCCTGAGGGTGGCTGGGCTTGCAAACAGACGTGCAGTGATTTTTGACCATTTGTGTGCGCAGGAGAACAAAGGCCAGAGAGGAGGCTGAGCTCAGATAAAATGCAGGAAAATTAAATATAGCTCCCCAAACAAGCTATGAATAACAGTACTGCCAACAGGAGTGCATATTTGAGCTATTACTATGTGCCAGGCCGCAGATGCGCACAGCCCTGGCTGTCAGCCTCCACCCAGCCCAGCATCCCACTCCAGTCAGGGGAAGAGCCAGGCTTCTGGAGAAAATCCTTTGCCACATCCACTGTCAGATGTCCCTCTTGGGGACATATGTAATCAACCAGGCACAGGAGGCCAGATGTCTGCTCTGCCCTCCCTGTCCTGCAGCTGTCTTTTGGGGGGTTCTGGGCAGTCCTGGGCAGCATGCTTTGGTGCCTCCATGCTTTGTCACTGTAAATGGATGAAAAGAGCGTGCCCCCTTCCCAGGACCTCTAAAATGTGTAACAGACCTGTATCCAGCTGCCTGATGGCGAACTTACCTTTAGGGACAAACTTCAGCGAGCTGCTGAATATTCAGAAACGTGACTGCCCCTGCTTGGGGCCATCATTCAGGAACTCATGGCCCAATCCATTGCCACACCTGCCACAGGAGACCTTGGAAGAGCACAAGACAGCCACATGAGCTTCTAGCCAAAAAAAAAATAGCCACAGCAATGTCCCCTCTTGACACCCCAAGCCCATTTCCCGAGGTAACTGCTAACAGGAGAGGCTGACCTCCCCTCCTGGAGCCTGTATAGGAAAGTCGTCCTATTTCCCTGTTCCCACCAGGACCCCAAGCTCTCCCAACCATTTTTGGAGGCAGCTTCCCTGGCTGAGGCCAGATGCCTGGGATAGACAGACTCTAAACCCCTAGAGCTGTGGGGGGAGCAGAGGAAGGAAGGGGCAGCCAACATCCCTTCCCACCCCCTGCTGGTACCACCCACCTTTAAGGCTTCAGGCAGATTGTGCTCTGGACGCTTGGCCACACTATCAGGATGGATAGTCTCGGTGAAGGCTGGCCATGGGGACGAGTGAGCATACTTTGCACGGCTAGAGAAAAGCTCATAGCCACACTTAGCGCACACGTAGACACCTGGAGGCCGAACAAGAGGCAGAAGCAGAGACATGAATCCTTGGATCCAGTATAACACAGCTCTCACAGAATGGACTGCACACCCTCCCACACCCCCAACTGGGTATTGGCTTTGTAGAGGAGACACACCACTGAGCTCACATTTGGGAGTTCTTGGTGTGTGCCAGAGACCAGGAGAGTCACTTTTCACAATTATTTCATTGACTCTTCTCCACAACCTGTGATGCAGACCTACCCATTCAACAGATGAGGAAGTTGAAGCTCTGTGATACAAACCACTCAGCTAGGAGGTATGCAACCGGAAAGGAACCCAGGGAGGCTGATGAGGACACAGTACTCCCACCCCTCACAGGCCCCACACAGAGGGGGCTCTGACATGGCCAGCACCACCACCTAGCTCCCCTTCCTTCCAAAGTGGCTGTCCTGCTGCCTGGCGAAGCCCTGAGCTAGATTCCCATCTACTGGCCTGCTCTCCCTGCCTGAAGAGAATGGTTTCAGGGAAAAGGCCTCCAGGACAGACAGGGGGCACAGAAAGGCAGAGGACCAGGGAGAACAGGTTTTAACCCGTCCTGAAAATATCACTTTGAGAGCTGAAAAAAAAAGGTTGTGCAGAACTGGATACAGGTACCTCCTACCCACCGCCTGGCCTGGGGAGAGCCTCCCGTGGGGTTTGTGAACTACTCAGCCTTTACCAGTAACTGGAGGAGGAAGCAAAGAGGAACCAGGAGCTGCTGTGGAAGTGGAGTTACCACTCCCATATTGGCAGAGCAGCCTTAATTCCCACAGCCAGAGGGTCTCAGGGGCTTTGCCTAGAGTGTCCTATGTCACAGCTGATAGCCATAGATGCTCAGTGTCAGAGCCTCGCCCCCTAGAAAGCTTGTACCCAACAGATGCCATCCTAAGTAAGTCACTGCCCTAGACTCGTCTGTGCATGTTTTTACCAAATTGGTCCACTGCTGGGCAGCACGGACCAGAAGGAGACTCATCAGGACTTCTTAAAGCCTAGGGCCAAGACTGAGGGCTGCCAAGCCACAAACCACCCCCAACCCTACTCCTCCCACATTGCCCAGGCTGTCGGGTCAAACTTCACTACACAGGCCACTGCTGGCCTAGCGGCACTCCTGTTTCCCAACCCCAGGGCTCTGGGCAGGGTGGGAAAATCACCTAGTCTAACTCGAACAGGACGTTCACTGCTTGCCCGCTTACTCCGGGGGGGCGGGGGGGGGGGCAGAAAGAGGGGAGGGAAAAGGGCAGGGATCACACCAGAGAGAGGGAGCAGTCACGAGAAGGGGCAGCCCTGTCACAGGAGTTGCCCCTGGACAAGAAAACCTTCCACTGCGTCCCTCTGAAGTCCAAACCCTGATCCGGGTCTCCCACCACCCCCATGTACTCTGACCCCACAGATTCCTCCCGCAAACGGCCATGATCACACTCAAAGTCTCTTCTTGAGGAGAGTCAACTCCTCTCTCTCTACGTCCTCCTCTCCTCGGGTACTCCTACTCTCCGAGCCCCCCAGACTCCTCCCTCCTCCTGATCCCCTTTATATGCGCTCCTCCCCACGCGGTTACACTTGCTCCCGCTACTCCCGGGTCTCCGGGGCCCCAAGGGTAGTGACGCCCCGTCTAATGTGCGCACCCTCCCCGCTGCTCTCCCGGGAGGTCACCGGTTGTACCCGGATCAAAGTGGTTCTGGAAAACTTCGCCCCCGAAGAAGCTGCAGAACGACATGGCGCCAACGAGACCGCTGCACTATCGTAGTTTCTTCAGACAGATCTGGAGCCACCGACCCGCGACCTCCAGGTTTGCGAGGGACTCCCCACGCCCCCAAGGCACCGCCTCCTCCAGGGGACCAATCACGTCTAGAAACGCCGGGACCCCCCCCCAACACACACACACGGGGCCCGCCTCCAGAGGGCCCGCCCCTTCCCGCGTACCAATCAGGACGAGGGTTCGGGTTTCCTCTGCCGGAGGCCCTGCACCCTCCCAGAGGAACTGCCAGTTCACTTCCCATAGACCCTGCCCACCAGCAACGCCAGTCCTGCGCTACGTCCCCGAGGCCCAGCACCAGGGGGCGCCGCTGAGCTGTGCTGGGTTTTAGGGTGACGGTCTGCGTGTGTTCTCCCTGCCCTGGCCTGCCACCGGCCTTTCCATGCTCTCAACTCAGACACCACGGAAAGAGTTGCCTCCAGCCTTTATTAGACAAAGGGGACAGGCAGGGGTCGCACGCGCTTCTTTTAGGTTCCTTCCATCCCAAACCGCCTACAAGTCTCCCGAGGTCTCCGGCTTTTCTTTCTCAAGGTGCTTTTTCTGGGGACCCTGTGGTGGGGGGAGCAAGAGGAGCGTTAGTCACAGGGGTCTGGCTCAGAATACTGTCTCTGGAGTCACCCAGAGCCGGCCCTGCCGCCCCTCTCCCGCGATCGTCCCTCCCCTACTTTCTTTTCCAGCAAGAATCAGTGCTCAGGGCTGGACTCCTAAAAGCCCCCTCCTATGGATGAAGATAGAGGCAACCCGCCACCCCAATTTGAGCTTCCCTGCTCTAGAGCAGGTGGGATGTGAGGTCTGAGCTCCAGAGAAGAGGGGGGGACTCACCATGAAGGCCCTCTTCTCTTGGGCTGTCTGGAAGCGGCCATGTCCAAACTTGGAGGTGGTGTCGATGAACTTGAGTTCAATGTTCTCCAGGTCCCGGCGGCTGTGGTGCACCAGGAGGGACTGGGGATCCATAGAAGAGGAGAGCCTCAAGATGGAAGTCCCCACCCCCTCCAGTAACCCCCAGTTCACCTATTTGTCTTCTGCCAGAACCCCTCCATTTTTGCTTTCCCCATTCCCAATACTCTTCAGAACAGGCTGAAGGACAAGGCAGGACAGCTACCCACTCCTCCCAAAGCCTCCTGCTCCCCAGCTCCCCAACCCACTGCCTGCCCTGACCTTCCTCAGTGTGATGACCCGCTTCTTGGTTCCCGCGATGCAACCCTTCAGCATGACAAAGTCGTTGTTGACTTCTCCATAGTGAGGGAAGCCACCCTGTGGGGAGGTGGGTCAGGGTCCAGACTGAGTTAGAGGGCAGCGGGGAGCCCCGAGAGAACCCCCATACTGGGCTGTGACTGGCAGGAGCCAGTGCTGGCTCCTGGCCATGGGGTGACACCCTCTATCACTGATCAAAGCAGCATCTGAGCCCCCCAGAGACTTCATCTGCAGTATCTCATTTAACAATCTGAGTTTTACACAGGGGAAACTGAGGCTCAGGGGGGTGGAGTCTCCTGCTCCAGCACATACTGCAGTTGCAGTTGAAACCCAGGTAGCCTGCCTCCAAGGCCACAGTCAGAGAAGCTGCATTCTGTACATCATGACAGCCACTGGAGTGTAAGCTGTCTGCAGAGGAGGCTCAGAGTACAGGAAGAAAGCGGTTTGCTCCACCAGGTGGCTGCTTGGTGGGGCCTGCGCTCTTGCGGCATTGCAGCACCCCACGCACCTGTCTCACACCTGCTCATCAGGCCCCTTCAGCCAAACTGGCTGCCCCCCGCCCCTTACCAGCGGTGTGATGGTCTTGTCAGTCATGTCGTAGCTGGTGGACGCGTTATTCTTAACCAGCTTCCCATCCTCCATGTGCAGACCCCGGCCAATGCGGTAGATCTGCCAGGAGATCAGGGCATGTTGAGGGCAGCAGGTGGCCTCGGGGGCCAGCAGTATGTCCACACCCATCAGCTGTGGGCTTAGACCCAGGAACCAGTGGGTGCACTTCAGAGCCTTTGCGGGGCCAGGCAGTGTCTGTGTCATTTACTCCACCGACTGGGGCCTAGTCACAGCAGCACCCCCCACCAGGCCTTTGGACGCACCTTCTTATTGAGCTCCGTGCGGTGGTGGTAGCCTTTCTGCCCGGCCCGGGCAATGGAGCAGCCCACTCGTGCAGGGTGCCAGGCGCCAATGCAGGCCACCTTTCGAAGCCCCTTGTGGGTCTTCCGAGGCAGCTTCTTGGTGTGCCAGCGGCTCGTGACCCCTGCAGGTGGGAGGGACTGGTGGCTGAGAGGGCAGTCTGGCTTCCATCCCCTCCGGGCAGCCTTCCAGGAGCTGCCATCTCCACCTGGTCCTACCTTTGATGCCACGGCCCTTGGTGACAGCAATGACATCAATGACCTCACTCTGACTGAACACGCTGTGCACCGGCACCTGCTTCTCCAGCCGTGCCTGGGCCCAGGCCACCTTCTCAGCCACTGTGCCACCGTTCAGCTGGATCTCCATGATGTGGGCCTTCTTCTGCCGGAAGGGCAGCAACTTCATCTGCAGGACATAGCATGTCCAGTCAATTCCCAGAGGGTCAAACCCTCATCTGAAGACATGGCACAGCCAGCTAGTGACCCTTAGCAGGCTTGCATGTCTGCATTCATTCGGTAGGCGCTTCTGTGCCTGGTCTGGCTGTGTGCCATGTCCTGTGTTAGGCGCTGGGGTGCAGCACGGAATGAGGCAGACAGGGTCTCAGTCCTTACAGAGCCACCATCTAGTTGGGGGGACAGAATCCAAGCAAACATTTGGAGAAGGCTAAGTGTTCTGATGGAATACTGTGGGTGGAGGGGACAATAATTGCACATAGGGTGGTCAGGGACGGCCTCTCTGAAGAGTGACATCGGTAACAAAAAGGAGCCACTAGGGTAAGGTCTGAGAGCTTTGGGGGCAGAGGAAACATGTGCAGTGGCCCCAAGACAGGGAAGATCCTGGGGATCTGGGGAGACAGGAAGAAGACCAGTGTGCATAGACCATGGGGAGCAGGGAGGAGTGGGTGCAGGATGGGGTCAGACCTGAGCAGCGGCCTGGCCAGGCAGCCTTGCAGATAGAGACTCAGGTTTTATTCCGAATGTGGGTCTAATGTGATCTGATTCATATTTTTAAACGTCTCTATCTGCTGCTCTGTGAGGCACTGGATGGAAGCAAGTGGGGACGCACAAGTAGAAGCAGGAATGCCTCTCTGTCACAGCATAGTGCTCAACAATGAGCACTTATGGAGCACCTACTGCATACAAGGCTCTCGGTGGGTTCTAGGGACACAGCACTGGTCATGCAGCCATGGCCCCTGCCTCAATGGAGCTCAAGGGAGATGAACATTAATCAATAACACAGGCGACCAGGAACTGCCCATGTGAGAATAACTGGGCAGCGGGTGGGCAGCGGAGGGTGTGTCCCTGCTCAGGGCCTATGAAAGCCTTCCCTAAGGACTAGAAGCCAAGGAATGTTCCAGAATAAGCCAGAGGGTAACCTGTCAGCCCACATCAAACCAGATCCTATGTACAAATGTGGATTCACACACACACTTGTACCAGAACCCACAGGGAGGCAGCAGGCTGGCCTTCCACACTGGACATTTGGTAGGAAAGCCAAGCCCTTTCGGGCATTTCAGGGCCTTGGTTGACCATGGGGTGTAGCTGATGCCCTACAGCCCTCAGAGTGCACTGACCCCCATCCCATCCCTGGATCTGCAGGCAGCCAACCCTCTGGTGCTGTGCCCAGGTCTCTCGGTATTTTTAGGCTGACATTTGCCAGGGCTCCTGGAAGCTGAGGTGAAGAAGGGTGAGCCTGGCAGTGAACCAGCTGACTGTGTGCGAACTGGGGTGAGGGGGCTGACCTGGGTGTGGACGATGACCCGAATGACCTTGCAGTACTTCTTCATGGCGGCAAAGTCTTTCTGAAGCTGCTTTTTGCCATCGGCATCGCGCCACCTCTTACAGGCCTTGGTAAAGGCTTTCTTCTTGCTCTTGTGCCTGAGCCACACACAGAGAGTGTTCAGAGAGGCCAGCTGAGGTGGTTCCCCAGGGCCCTGCCCGCCTGCCACCCACCACCAAGCACGGATCTTAGAACAGTAAATGTCCTTTTCCTTCCTCCTTTCCTTCCCCCTTTCCTTCCCACAGGGAGGCCACTGCCAGGCCTTCCCTAGAGTCCCTGGACTGACTGCAGTCACCCCCTTTAAGCCCAGACTGTCCCTCTCTCTTTGTGCCTCAGTTTCTTGCTCTGTAAACTGGGCCTTCTCCTGCCACCTGGGGCCTGAGAGGAGTGGCAGACGTGCAGGAGCTCGGGGAAGGGGTACGTTGGCCACCTGCCCACACCGATATGCCTGCTGACCTCACTTCTGAAGCAAACAGCCAGTACTGTGCATTGTTCCTGACACTCACTGGGACTCTGGGTGGTGGGCAATACTATCCACATTCTACAGCTTGAGAAGCCAAGGTTCACAAAGGTCAAAGTCCCTGGATGTGGGGCACGTTGGTAACAATAAAAATAGAGAAAGCAAGGTCGGCTGGCCTTTGCTGAGCACTTCCTCTGTGCTAAGCCCTGGATCCACTTTGCTCGCCTAACCCTCACAGCAGCCCCGAGACACAGGGGCCACCCCCGTCTCCATTTGATGGAGTGTCCGTGGCATGCCTAAAGGTGACAGGTGACACAAGGTTGTAAGAGGTCAGCCAGCTTACCTGCGGTCACACAGCCTGCTCTGACTCCAGGGCCCATGGGGGGCCAGGGCTGAGCTGTGCCTCTGCCTACATAAGGAGGGGTGTGTCTGTGAGGTACTCAGGTGGGGCAGGAGGGGTGCCTTCCCTTTCAGGACTTGAGGCAGGGAAGATTTGAGGCCCGAGACCCGAGAATGCCTTTCTTTCTGATGAGACCTTCAGTTGGCTGTTTCTCTTTTCACCCTGAATGCTAGGAAGCTCGGATCCTACTGACATTTTCATCGTACTAGTTCCTTAATGAACCCTGAGGGTTAAAATACCTGCTTACTCTTTTTCTTCTATCCCAATTTCCTCTTCAACCTGCTAATATTCATCTTTTACTGTATAGAAGGCATCTCTTCACACATGCTCACACACACTTTCCTGCCTTCCACACACTCTTGACGCTTCTCTCCCTACCCACCCCCCTCAGCCCAGCACAGGGGTGGGGAGCGAAGGGCCCGCCCATCCCCCCATGGTTCCACCAGGCCACACCGGGCCCACCACAGGGTCCTCACCAGTCCTTGTAGAAGCGCCGGCGGCACTCATCGCTGAGGTGCTCTGCAAAGATGGTCTTGAAGCTCCGAAGGCCTCGAGGGGTGGCCACGTAGCCAACGACACCCACCACCACCAGAGGTGGTGTCTCCACAATCGTCACGGCCTCCACCTCCTCCCGCTTGGAAATTTCTGGATGAGACCCAGAGACAGGCATGGAGGAGAGCCTCCAGGGCCCAAGGGTAAGGAGGACAGAGTGGGAGAGCCACCTGTAGCCCCCGAACCTGAAGGAGGATGATGCACCACAGCCCAGGGCTGCTGGGGACAGAGGGCCTCCCAGCCAGAGCCCTCGCCATCCTCCAGCTGTCAGACTGCCTGCTCCCTGCTCCTTCTCTCCTCGCTCGAGGCAGGAGCAGCTGCTGGTCAGAGCCCCACGGGTGGTCCCTGCTAGCTCTGACACTGAGATCTCAGGTGAGGCCTGACCTTCCCCTGCCTCTGTTTCCCCACCAGACCATCCGGGAATGGGCTAGGAGAGCAACCACCAGGGCAGCATTCCCCAAACCCTGGGGTTGGGCTTCCTTTAGTCAGACACAAATGATCACTTTTTAATTTTAATACTTAAAAATGTACGTTGATGAGGTCTAGGAAAAAACTTGTAATTTGTCCAAAACACACAATTTTACAGTTCTTATTACAGAGGCTGATACAAAGTGAAAGAAGTATATGCTTAAAAAATATATTAGGAGAAATAAAAACAAGTGAGTGGTTGCCAAAAGGTTGGGGGCTGGGTGACTGTGGCTGTAAAAGGGCACTGGGGAGTTCGTAGGGGTGGAACGGTCCACGGCGGTGGTGCGCACGTGTCCACACGGCAGAGCTGCATACAGCTAGATACGCCTGTGCGCACACAAACACAACTGGGGAAACTCAGGCCAAGCAACAGGTTTCCATCAGGGGAAACTGGGTAAGGGGTACACGGAATCTCTCTGCTCTTTCTTACAACCACGTGTGAATTACAATGATCTCAAAACGAGAGCACAATTAGATGCCTGCCTTTGACTCCTGGCTCCTCCACTTACTAACTAGGCCACAGGCAAGTTTTATAACTGCTCCATTTCTTCATCTGGAAACTAGGGACAATGACAGACCCCCACCTCAGGAGCGGCCGGGAGCCAGCAGTCGGATGGTCATCATTCTGACTGCTGTTCCCACAGGCAGGACCTCGCCATTTCTGGGGCCGTTTCCCCCCTTGAAGTCCAATTCTGATTCCTAGCACTTGAAAGTTCCTCTAAATCTTCTCCCAGTGAGGGGAGCTCTGTCCGAATTTCCTCTGCCCGCCCCCCCTGCCAAATGTGCCCTGTGGCCACTCACTGAGCCCTGGCCGGTGCACCTCTCGCAGAGTGTGTGTCATGCCGGCCTTGTAACCCAGGAAAGCTGTGAGGTGCACAGGCCGGCTGGGGTCATCCCGAGGCCATGTCTTCACCTTGCCCCGGTGCCGGTGGCTCCTCTTGTGGGGCAGGAAACCCAGATGTCCATGCCGAGGGGCAGAGAACTTTCGGTGGGACTGGGGACAGGAGAAGATGGAGGTCAGAGCTGGGGTGGCCCTGGTGAAAATAACTGAATGGTCCCAAGGCCTGAACTGGAGAAAATAGCTAGAGACCCCAGACTGAGGCTCTATGGTCTTCAGTGCCTCCGTTTGTCTGCAGGAAAGGCAGTTTGCCCAGGGGCAGTATCTTATGAATGGAGCCAGCACCAAGCCCTCCTGACCCACAGGCTTCCTGCCTCAGTGGGCTCAGCCTGGTGGGACCCAGAGGAGGTAGGCCCACACTGTGGCTAGGGCTACGGAGACAGGGGGCTGCTGCCATCTGTCCATCTCCTTGCCTGTCCTAGGCCTGGCAGGCCGAGCTCTGGCCCCTGTGGTCCCCTCCATTCCCCTACTCCTTCACAGGCCCAAGGACTATCCCTGCTGGGTGAGATTCCAGGAGCCCACCTGCCCCTCCCCAGGAAGCTGGCTTGCTCCACCTCCAGCCCCCCAGCCCACTGACCATGGCGGCCGGTCCCTGCTGGTCAGGAAAGAAAGGGGCCTTCCTGCCAGGTGCTGGAGGTCGAGTGGCAGGGCCAGCACGCACACAACAGCCAGATCCCAGATTTAGCCCCTGGCAGGGAAGTTTGGTCATCTCCCCTGGCAGGCATGGGCTCTGGTGCCAGGAGAAGGCTTGGCCTGGGCGGGGCCATGGGGGGACATCAAATGAACAGCCTGGGGTGGGGACACTTGGAGTCAGGGCTGGCGCTCCTCTCCTCAAGGGTCCTGGGAACGGGTCACACCCACTCTGTTTTCTTTCTTGTGAAACCCACCCCCAGGACAGGAACAACCTGGCCTAGTGGGAGGCAAGGAACCCCAGCTGGCGGGCTTCTTCCATGCAGCCGCCCAAGATGAGGGTTTGAGTCCAGTCCGCTGGCACCAAGGCAGAGGGAATTCCTGTCCTGTCTTGTCCTGAGTGCTGTGAGCCTGGTCTGGGGGGGTTGGCTCTGTGCCCAGAGGGTCACCAGGGCCCTGGCTCAATATCAGGGTTCTTTGACAGTAACAGCTGTGATCCAAGAACATTCATATACTGTCATGAACTGAAGTTTTGAATGAAAAGGGGATTGAAATCTCTTATTTTTTTGATTCACAAATTCTATAGTTATAATGGTCTGTAGCCATAGAAACAGAGTTTTATAGGCCTAAGATGTCTTTGAGGGTCTCTGGATTTTGCGTGACTCAGTGCTATATGATCCTGTTCTATTAAAATGCCATGATTCTTTCTTTTTGTTGTTTTTGAATCACAAAGCTACTTTTAATACTTGGGGGTAATCTCTTCCACCACAGGAGTGGAGAAGCTCACCCCAGGGAGAAAAGCTACCTGAGGGAAGGATGCACAGAAGAGACCAATGTAGATTCAGGGTAGAGAGAATGCCACTGGTGCTAGAGTGCTGTGGGACCCTGGGGCGTGGTGGGACGGGGTCCAGACACTCAGGCCAAGGGCAAGGAGGCTTGGACACAAAGCCACAGAACCACTGGGGTTCTTCCTTCTCATTTGCCTTTTCTGCTTCTGCTGCATGATCTTTGAGTCCCTCCACTCCCAGGCAGCAGCTCAGCCCTGCCTCCATGGGGTCCCCTCTTTCAGTCCCATGTTGCAGGCCAATCTGAGGATTCTTCAGGTTGGACGTGTGTGCTTCTAGGAGTTCATGATTTAAAGAGTTCATATTTCTGTGTGTCCAAAGAGTTGATGGCTGTGTGTCCAGAGTTGATGGCTGTATCTTTGATCCCAGCCTTTGAGCAGGAAGTAACCGGCACTTTCCCTGGTGCCAGGGGTTATGCCAGGTGTGGAGATCACAGAGGGCAGCCAGCAGGGCTCTGGGCAGTGGAGGTGCCTCAAGGGCACAACATTGCTCAGGACCGGGATGAAACCATCAGAACCGGACCAGAGCACCCTGCGCCCAGGATAGAAGCCACTTCTCCCTATAAGTGGAGGCTCCAAGGGGCAAGCTCTGCCTTCTGCTCCGCTCCAGGCAGGCCCCCCAACCCCCCTGGCAGGTACAGTGGAGTCCAGAGAGGGGTTGTAGGGAATGAGCAATCCAAGAAGATATCCTGGAAGAGTAGTTGGTGTTATTTTTTTGCTCTACCATCCTGAGTTCTCCAGAAGAGCACAGCTTTGTTCATCTTGTTCCTTGCTGCACTTGGCAAGGGCCTACACGCCGTCGGAACTTAATACTTACACCTCCGTCAGTCTCCTTTTGAACGTAAGCAAGGACGCTCCAGAGACCGAAGCGGTATTTGCAATGGCGCTTCAGTCCCACGAGGGGGCGCCCAAACTGTGAGACGTTGCAAGAGGCCACACAGGGGCGTGTCGAGAGAACAAGTCCCGTGGTGCCTCGCGGGCGCCTACATCCCTGCGCAGGCGCAGCTGCCCTAGGGCGTCCTCTGCTGAGGGCGAGCTAGGCCACGGACAGAGGCAGAGGCTGGAATTAGGCGTCCGAGAGGGATCCCTCTGTGAGCCGCACCATGCCAGATAGCTGGGACAAGGACGTATATCCCGAGCCCCCGCGCCGCACGCCGGCGCCCTCCCCACAGACCTCGCTGCCAAACCCCATCACCTACTTGACGAAGGCCTTCGACCTCCTCGTGGACCGGCCTGTGACCCTCGTGAGAGGTACGGGCTCCACCGGGTCCTCGCCGCTGCCCGGTACCCCGGACCCCGTGACCCAGCCTGGACACCCCGCCGCACCCCGGGCTTCGCCCTCATGACTGTCCCTGGCCGGAACCCGGAGCTCCCCCTCGGAGATCTGCGGGCGTTGTCGCGTACTTAGACCCCCAACTGCACCCCAGGCCTTCCCTCCGGGACGCACCCGGACCCCTCACCGGCTACCACTGCTTGGGGACACTCCACGCACTTGTGGTCTCCATCCTTGCCCAAGAATTAGGAGTTATTAGCCGATCATAATTGTATGTGTCCTGGAGCTTGTTAGACCCCAATCTCCCAGCACGCTTTGCATCCTGCTTTAGTGCCCAGTAGGCGTCAGAAAATGGGTGTTGAAATGAAGGGGTCCTCCACTAACCTACTACATGCCTGCAATATGACCGGGGTGGTCAGGTGTTGGCTGAGGTCCCCCCTCAACCCAGAAGTGCAGTGACTTGACCTTCATATGTGCCCAGATTCCCCCTCTCTGGTTCGAACCAGATGAATTGATCTTTGTTGCTCAGTTTGTGGTTCAGGCAGCCCTATGGGACAGCAGCAAGAGTATGCTCTGCTTTTAGTTACTAGTGTGCCGCGCCACCCATCCATGTGTTTAACTTCATTCATTCAACAAAACCTTTGGGGTGCATAGTGTGCTCTGTTGGCTCTTTTGATAGGGAGGATAAAGCCAGCAAACCAGACTCCCAAGATCTGGAAAAGGCACCGCAAAGGGCCCACTCCCTTTTTTGTTCAATTTCTGAGAATTTCACACGTCTGGGTTTCACTAGGTTCAAGTTAGTTTTCCTATGGGAAAGTTTAGGCCAGGTCAGTGGCAGCAGAATTGGGACTAGAATCCCAGCTGGTGGCCTCTGCCTACACAGTGGGTCTCTGTGATGGTAGTTGGCTGACAGGGTGTAGCAGCCTGGGCTTGCAGAGCCTAGGTTCAGAATCCTGCCTTCCCTCTGCACCTCTGTAAATAAGGACCTGCCCCATAGGGTTCTCATGGGGACACAGTAAACCTAGACATTGCCATTTGTAGCCTAGTCTTTCCCAGGACTGTATGCACCAGTCTACCCATGAGAGTCCACTTGCCCATCTTTATACAAATTTAGAACATATGGGAAATCTGCCCCGCCCATGGCTTATGAAAAAAGCTAAGAGCTCATCTGAACTGTGGCCTATCCAAACCAATGGGGCCTTTGTCTGGGGTTTTCTCTCTGCAGAGTTTATAGAGCAGCAGCATGCGAAGAACAGGTATTACTACTACCACCGGGAGTTCCGCCGGGTGCCGGACATCACCGAGTGCAAGGAAAAGGATATCCTGTGCATGTTTGAGGCAGAAATGCAATGGAGAAGAGACTAGTATGTTCTGCCCTGGACTGGGGAATACTGAGCCCTGCACAGTGACCATTATCATGCTGTAGAATGGTACAGATCTTGGCCAAGATCTTGGGAGTGGAGGGGCCAGACTACAGAGCTCCAACTCCTGCTTTCCTTCTACCCTCCCTGGGTACAAGGAAAGGATTCTTTGTAGACCCTTTTTTGTTCCTTTTTTTTTTTCAGCAAAGTCGACCAAGAAATCGTCAACATTATCCAGGAAAGGCTGAAGGCCTGTCAGCAGAGGGAAGGTGAGAGCTACAGGCAGAACTGTGCCAAGGAAATGGAGCAGTTCACCCAAGTGGCCAAGGCTTATCAGGACCGTTGTAAGTGAGCCTCACCCCAGCTAGACCCCTCCTTGCTTTCTTGCCAGCCAAATCCCCAACCCTCTCTATACTCCATTCTCCACAGCTGTGGGATGAAAGTTGCTAAGACAGTCGTCTTCAAATCTATGTACTTGTAATGGTTCCTACAAATATCCCCCAAAGCTTTAATTAGGTCAGCCTTGTAGGATGTAATGGAATTATCACTATGCTGTTCTGTTCAATACCTATCTTGGCTGCTTGAGTGTCCTCGCTGTATTGAAGACCCCTTTTCCCATCATGGGAGAAGTGGCCCATGACTCCACTCCATCTCTTTTCCCAGATCACGACTTAGGGGCCCACTATTCTGCCAGGAAGTGCCTGGCGAAACAGAAGCAAAGGATGCTTGCAGAGAGAAAAGCTGCTAAAGAGGCTGCTGCTGCTGCTCCCTGAGCCCCTCTCACGTGACTGTCACTACTGTTAAATAAAGAGTACCAAAACGTGTTTCTGGTGTCACCTTCAACACTTAGCCTTGACACATTGACACACCAACAGAAGACAACTATTATTAACAGACTTAATTCACTTTATTTTCCTTGTACAAAAATTATGTGGTGGCCACAGCTGGAGCTTGGGTCCTCTGCACAGAAACTCTGGTGTGGGTCTTCACCAGATGGTCGGTGAATTCCTGGAAAAACAGACGAAGCTTTAGCTGTAGTCAGATACACACCGCACTTGCACAGGTTAACATGGTGGCAGGCAGGCCATACCTGGTAGGGAGACTTGGTGAACACAGTCTCTTTCCAGAGGTCAGGGGTGAGATAGCTGTAGGTCTTAGAGATGGCATCAAAGGTGGCCTTGGCTAGAAAAGAAAAGAGGGATTCACCCAAAGTAAGACCCCACGTGTAGACAAAATCTGCCCAATTCCTAGGAAAAGACCACTTTGCCCTGGTCTCCTGGGCATTTAGGACTTTCCTGACAACATACCACCACCCACCCAGAATGATCAGGTGGTGCTGAGAGGCCACAGCCATGTGTAGGCCACTTACCAAAGTTGCCCAGAGTAGCAGTGCAGCCCCTGGCTGAGGTGTAGCAGTCATCAATACCAGCCATCATCAGCAGCTTTTTGGGCACAGGGGCAGAGACAATGCCAGTGCCCCTGGGTGCAGGGATTAGGCGCACCAGCACAGAGCCGCAGCGCCCGGTCACCTGGAAGAGTTGAGGAGTCAAGACTGAGGCGGGAAGAAGTCTACCATTGAAGGACCCATCAGTTTCTACCAACCAGCTTACCTTACAAGGGACAGTGTGGGGTTTGCCGATCTTGTTCCCCCAGTAGCCTCGCCGCACAGGGACAATGGAGAGCTTGGCCAGGATGATGGCCCCACGGATGGCAGTGGCTACTTCCTTTGAGCACTTAACACCCAGACCAACGTGTCCATTGTAGTCTCCAATGGCGACAAATGCCTATGGAGAGACTGATGTGGCTGGTGGTCCACTGCACTGCACAGCATCATTAACCACCACTTAGGGTCTGTTGCGCCCCTCCAGGAAAGAATGGCCACTGAGAGGCCAATCTGAGGTCCTGAGGAGATCCTTTCTCTCTCTCCCCATTACGAAAGTCACACATGTGCAAAAACGTGTAACTATGCAGAGCTGAGAGAGTTTCACAAAGCCCCTTAGCAGACACAGTTCAGGAAGACATGCATACCTTGAATCGGGTCCTCTGGCCTGCACGTGTCTGCTTTTGCACGGGCATAATCTTCAAAACTTCATCCTTGAGGGATGCTCCCAAGAAAAAATCAATGATCTCAGATTCCTACAAGAAATGAGATTTGTGACAAATACGTTTAAAAGTGTGAACATTCGTCATCAGGAGACTTCACCCAGCTTCCTAGCAGAAGCGCTATTGTGGTTGTTCAGACCTCTCTCCAGATTGATAATCTACATAACTCAACCTCTCAAAAAAGCGCGGAGTTCCTCAATAGAGCTCATTCCTCCACCCCAACCCAAATGGGACTCCCCAAGGCTGCACCTGCCCAGCGCCCCAACGAGGGAAAAGTGAACCCAACGCGTTACCTTGATAGGCAGAGAAAAAAGATAAATCTCCTCCAAGGACTTGATTTTCATGTCCTTGACCAAGCGGCCCAACTTGGTGACGGGGATCCACTGGAGGAGGAAAAAGCGCCGATGACGAAGGGAGACTGACCTGTGGCATCCATGGGTCCATCTCGCACGTATGCCCCAGACCTACCTCCTTATCCTCGGCCTTGCCTCCACGAGCTCCACGGCCTCGACCTCGACCCCGACCCCGGCCGCGACCTCGGCCCCGGATGCCGCTACCAAATCCTCCTCGGAAGCCGCCGCGGCCTCCCATTCCAGGGCCCCCGGGGCCTCCCGGCCCTCCCGCAGCACCGGCGTCATCCGCCATTTGCTGGAAAGAATTAACAACAAAGAACGCCACTCAGTGAGTCCCAGGCATTCCCGCCCACCTGGACTAGGGCTCCCGCCCGCTTCTAAGATCACACCAGCCCGATGTCCGCGGATTCCCGCCCCTAAGGCCCTCAGGCCACACAAGAACCCACAAGCACTCACGTGTTTCTTGGGGAAAAAAAGAGCAAATATCGCCGCAGAGGGACTTTTTATATGGCTCCAAGTGCCGCGAGAACTAGAGTGCACCGCCCTGATCGCGTGTGGTCCAAGGGCCTATAAGACAGCTTGTGATTGGCCACGTGGGGCCCCGCCCCTGTCGAGTGCTGCGGGCGCCTGCGCGTCTGCGGGTCCGCGGCCCCGGAATCTGTGTGACCACGGCGGAGTCTTATAAAAGCTGGCGCCGTTACTACCATGTTTTCTGGTACTGCAGGTAGGTCCGCTCATCTATCCTTTACTGTATAGTTGGTGGGTGGTGTTCGGGAGATCGGCGTTGGTTGAAAATCACCTGCGGCTCTGTCTGTGACCGTGGGTGAGATTCGGCGCCCAGAGCCACCGGGGGCCTCAGCTCACCGCCCACTTGGTGTGGGAGGGTGAAACCCAGGCCCCGACACGCGTCGCGGCTCCGGGTCGCGGTGCTGCCGCTCTCGTGCTCTGGTGTCAGATTTCTGACCCCGTTTTCTCTCCGTAGGACGCCCGGATGCCCCAAACTGAGGCTGACGCCGCCAGGACCGTGGGGGTGGGGGGCTCAGCTGTCATCATTTTTCAATAAAGCTGTTGGTCTTAACCTGTGCGTGTGGGAGTTTTTGGTCCCCTGCCCGTCAGCTGGGAAAAAAACATCTGTTGACTCGGGGATCGATGTGTGCTGTGAAGGGGACACCAGTGTGGGACACCTTTTTCTCCAGGGCAGCCCTATTTTGCTGTGAATGCCACACAGGGCGTCTCCAAGGTTGACACCCTGTACCTTCGTCATCAGCATATAAGATAACGAGCTTAATGGGAATCAGGTTGGGTCTCCTTACCACTGGCAAGGTAGGAATGTAGGATTTACAGTTCAAACAGTGGCTCCCTGTTGCACTCAGGACGGGTTAGGGTCTTTAAAATTTGAAGGGCTAACCATTCAGTGGTGTGGAAATGCACTTCTCTGTGCCTTACATGTGGGGACTTACTGGTTTCTCAGGTTAGAATTTATTTCCCGATTCCCTTGTTATAGGTCTGCCCAGATGGTTGCAGTCTACCTATTCTGGTAAGCTTTCCCACAGGCTAGCTCTACCTATTATAATATTGCAGGTTGCATGGGCATATGGTCTCATTTCCCTGGTCTGTACCCTGGAGCATCAAGGATCTTAGATCCTAAATCCCCTAAGCTCTTAGAGATATAGCCACCTGGGCAGCACTATTTGAGAAGTGAAAGGGGAACAATCCTGCGTTCTTACTTAAGCCTCAGTCTTAGGGAAACTGACCCCAGAAGCTTGATTCCAGGCCCAGTGCTGCTTGGGGATCAGCTGTCAGCCACCTCAAGGCAGGGGCCCCAGGGATCTGTCCCAGGCTTCGGCTATCCCCTATCCCTCATCTGTGCACCTTTAGAGAAGGGAGCAACAGCCAGTTGGTGTAGGGTCACAGTGGGCCCTTGACCAGTTTGTGATTGGCCTGAGTTGGACAATGCCACTGTGATGTCAGCCCACACCCCCTATCAAATAGAGGCTCCTTGGGCCCAAGGGTCAGGAGCTGCCGTCCAGACACAGATCATGGTAAGCCCCAAATCCTCTTGCCTCTGGCCCTTGGATTGGTACCTGACTCCAGAGTCTTGCACAGAGCTGGACCCCAATTCCCACACTAAGGGTGGCCAGCGAATCACAAGCTCCCGAATAGGACAATGAAGCCTTTCAGAGGATTCTGAACAAAAGTAACTCCAGAACAAGGCCAGCTTCTCCAGCTGGGAATTAATATTCAAGGGTCTTGACACTCAACAGCTGCCCCCTCAAAACGGGTGCTGACCCAATCCCTCCACTTGGGGCTTTCATGTGGCCCACCTCCCCAAATCTTGCCAGGGTCTCCTAGGTGTGTGGAGTGGGCGGGTGACCAGATTCTGGTCGCAGCCAAGCCCTGACACTGGCTTGGCCTTTGCAGAGCGGCGGGTATGATCTCAACCTCTTCACTAGCCCTCCCGACAGCAACTTCCTGTGTTCTGTCTGCCACGGGGTTCTCAAGAGGCCAGTGAGGTTGCCATGCAGCCACGTCTTTTGCAAGAAGTGCATCCTCCGGTGGCTAGCCAGGTGCTCTTAGGTTCCCAAGATGCTGGGAAGGGGGTGGGAATGAGGGCCATTTCTGTAACCCAGGAAAAAGAGGAAGGTTTGCAAAGCACTAAGTCATATGGCCATAAGATTCAGGTGCTAAATTTTGTGGGACACTGAAATATGCGGGTCCCCCAACCCTGTGGTATATGCAGCCCCTGGCCCCAGACCTCAGAGCTGAGAGCTCCCTATAAAGTCCTCTCGTGCTTCTTCCAACTAAAGAGAAGGGACAAACATGTTGCCACCACTACCTCCCTTCCCAATCCTAACACCCCCACTCATGCCTCCTAGAGAAAAGACCTGTCCGTGCTGCAGAAAAGAGGTGAAACGTAAAAAGATGGTCCATATGAATAAACTCCGAAAGACCATTGGTCGCCTGGAAGTTAAGGTAGCTCAAAGTACCACTGCCACTAAACTCCTTGCCCCCCTTGGAGGGGTGGGGGCAGAGCCAGGAGAGGGGGCAAGGAGAATCCCATTCCCAGAGAGAAGTGAACATTTCTGAAGCAACACAGACTGCTGACTTGGGGTCATTACACCTAGCTGAGTTGTCTCATCTCTACCATATATTTGTGGTGTGATTTTGGGCAAGTTACATAACCTCTCTGACCCCCCGGGACCTCAAATGTAAAATGGGATTTGTAGAATAGAAAACTTGTAGAGGATGATGTCTGCTGTGCCAGCCATTAATTATCCTGCCCCCTAATTTTATAGACAGAGGTTTAAAAAAAAAGTCCTGGCATACATACAATCCACTAGACCAACCCAGCCATGCACCTCCCTGTTTTCCAAACCTCAGGCCCTGACCCCTAGACTTCCCATCTCCAAGCATTTGTCCAACTCTTCCCCTCTCTCCACGTCATTGGTGCCAGTGGAATGCTATGGATGGGGGATTTGCAGGGAGTGGGCCAATACCCAAGCTGATTTGGACTCACATGATGTTCTCCCCCACCCCCAGTGCAAGAACGCCGAAGCTGGCTGCTTGGTGACATGCCCCCTGGCACATCGCAAGGGACACCAGAACTCATGCCCTTTCGAGCTAATGGCTTGCCCCAACGAGGGCTGCATGGCACAGATGCCGCATGAGGCCTTGGCCGAGCACCGGCAGCACTGCCAGCATAGTACCCAACAGCGTTGCCCCCTAGGCTGCGGCGCCACCCTGGACCCAGCAGAGCGTGTACGCCACAACTGCCACCAGGAGCTGCGTGAGGCCTGGGACCAACACCAGGAGCGCAGCCGTAACCTGGTGCTGTGCCTGCTACGGCGCGTGCGCAAGGTGCACCGCACCACCAACCTCCTCCGCCGTGGGTTGGCCCAGCTAGGAGACTTCCTGGAGGACGACTCGCTGGTTTTCCGTGCCCAGCAGGAGAATGCGGAGGCAACCCCAGAAGGCAGCATTGGTGCTGAGGTTTGGGAAGTCCAGGGCCAAAGTGCCTTGTAAATTGAGAGGTGAATAAATGCGAGCCCTGATCTGGCACTCGCTCTGCTCCGCAATCTCTGTACTTGCCGCCCCGCTCCTCTTCAGTCACTACTCCCGTCTCCCCGCAGGGACACTTTGGCTTCTCTCTCGAGTTCGACACTGGCTATTCTCCCTACCCAAAGGCTCCTTCCCTCGCTCTCATTTGTCTGGCTTCCTTCCACTCAAATGAATGTCTCCTAGCAAAGGTCTCCTTGCAAAGTTTCCCCGCCCCAGGCTTCTTCTTAATTACTTTCTACCAATCTGTTTACTAGCTTCATAGCCAGTAGCACAAATGGTTCAAAATCCAGAACTCAAGAGTAAAAGCCAACTCAACACACGACTCACAAGGAACTCCATTACCTCTGACCTCCTCCCCTTACATTCTCCTTACTCCCTCCCTGAAGCTACAGGGGCTTCTGTTGCTGCTCCTAGCTCCAGGTGTGCCTATCGTGAAGCACTGTTCCCCTAGATAACCACAGGGCTCCCTACTTCACCTACTTCAGGTTTTTGCTCGTGTCACCTCCATGAAGCATTCTCCACCACCTCATTTATAATCGCAGCCCCTAAACTCCACTCCCAACCCTGGCCAATCCTTTCCCCAAAACTAATCATTTAAAATGTCACTATTATTCCTTGCCCTGCCACTCAGTGCCCACCCCACTAGCACGTGAACTACCTGAAAGCAGGGTTTTTCGTTTTCTTCTCTAGTGTTTTCTACGTGCCTAGAACAGTACTTTGCACACAAATGTCCTCAAATACTTAAACGACTCTGAAATCACCCGATTTATTCATTTACCTGTGTTCTCATACCAGGCCATGAGCCTTTTTCAAGACTCTATATACTCTCGGATGCTCTCACCCCAAATCCCAAAATGACGAGAGGACAGGATCATTAGGGTTACTTTAGTAAACATTTCCTACGAATGCCTTTCTAAATTTCCCTTAAAAAGCCAGATATACAGATGAGGTATTCTAGAATGGTACACTTGAAAACTACATAATTTTATTAACCAATGCCGCTCCAATAAATTCAATAACAACGTAAAAAATTAAAAGGCCAAGTCCTGGCTGGTATAGCTTAGGGTCGCAGGTTTGATTCCCAGTCCTGACTAAGTGGCGGGCCAGGTCCCGTAGGGGGTGTGCAAGAGGCAACCACACATTGATGTTTCTCGCCCTCTCTTTCTCCTTTCCTTCCCCTCTCTCTAAAAATAAATAAAAATGCCAGATAGCTGAGAACCCAGTCCCCCGGAAGTCTAAAGCATCCGTCAAAGCTATGGTATATCCCAAACTTCAGGTCGGAAATGCCTCCGCAAATTTCACTTCCTGACACAAGTTACCATTGCCCACAGCAACGATGGCGCCGGTGGCACGGTATTAATGACGTCACAGCAGAAACGCCATCAGAGCGCGCCGGCAGCGCAGAGTAGAGCATAAGTCTCCCTCACGCGGCGGCGGCGACAGCAACATGGAGGAGGCAGTGGCTGGAG